ACTAGAACAAATTTATCTAAACTTAAATTTTGGTAACAACAATAATCATATCTGTTGAGCACGAACTTTCCGTTGTAGGATATTTCTGAAAGCACCCCTTACCTCCTGGTTCCTCATGCTGTAAATTAATGGGTTGAGCATGGGGGTCACCACTACATAGAACACTGAAGCCATTTGGTCTAGGTTATAATTTGGTCTAGAGCTTGGCCGTGCATACATAAAGCTAAGACATCCATAGAAAATGGTGATGACTATGAGGTGAGAGGTACAAGTGGAAAAGGCCTTCCTACGGCTTGCGGCAGAGTTGATCTTTAAAATGGTAATCAGGATATAGGTGTAGGAGGTGAGAACAGTCAGGCTTGTTGTTATTAAATTGAAGCCAACAAATACAAATACCAGAAGATAATTAAGACTGATATCTGAGCAGGAAAGAGCAAAAAGGGGTGGACCCTCACAATAAAAACTCTTAATGATGTTTGGACCACAGAAGGACAGTCTAGTTGCAGTCATTGTGTGCACAGAAGCATTAATGATCCCAGCAATGTAGGAAATTGCTATCAGCTGAACACACTTTCTTTGGGACATTATCATCAAGTAGAGTAGTGGATTGCAAATTGCCACATAGCGATCATAGGCCATCACTGCTAGGAGGTAGCACTCTGTGGTTCCAAATATGGCATAAAAGTAAAGCTGAGTAAAGCAGCCTCCATAAGAAATACTTTTTTTCTCTTTTAAAAGATTGGATAGAAAGTTTGGGGTGACAGATGAGGTGTAACAAATATCCAGAAAAGATAAGCTGGTAAGAAAAACATACATTGGTGTGTGGAGAGAAGGACTGATCCTGATCAAGATAATCATGCTTAGATTTCCCACCAGGGTGAAGGCATAAACAGCAGAAAATGTCCCAAAGAGGATCAGTTGCAATTGTGAGTTCTCTGTCAATCCAGTGAGTATGAATTCTGTCACTGGTGTGCTGTTTCCCATGTAATCGCAATATCTATCTACATAAAAGGGCAGATTGGATATAAACAACTACTTGTGATTAAAGTAATTTCTGCCCATGAATAAATTTCTCCACCGGACTACTAAAAACAATTAATAACCATGGGAGTGCTACTGAAATCTTCGAGCTGAGGAATTCTCTTTTAAACCTGGGAAGACATCAAAAAGGGATCAGAGCAAATACGATTTATATTGACTTTTTTTCACAAGATTTTTTCAGAAACTGCAGCAAAGAATTAGCAAAGTAACTGAAGAAAGGCTCTTACTGCTTTTCAATGGAGTATATTGCTGGATCTACATATTCTATGACTTGTAGAAGCTGATCTTTGGACTACTAGGGCTCCACATTTCTTAAGATGATCAAACGAATTCTGAATAGCAAACCATACTGACTCTCAATGTCTTCTGTGCCCAATAACTATGATAATTCGTCCCTGAACTTTTAAATTTCTAATATATAAAGGGATATTTAAAAAAAAAAGATGCAAATTTATTTATTTTTTTTATTGAAAATTTTTAAAATTTTTACAATATAACTCCCCACCTCCCTCATACCCCACCCTTCCCCACTCCCCTCCCTTCCCCCCGACTTCCCAGAGCTACACACAGGGTTTACAATACAATAATTATATTCTGTCTTAAATTGTATTATCCTTAATAATTGTTAAGATATTGTAGGAAATCGAGAGAAGATTTGACTGTATAATTTGTAGTAATAATGTTTAATAAATTAAAATTATTTTATATGATGTAATTGTTAGTGTTTAATGAGTTTTTGGTTTACTTTGAAAAATCAAGGTATAAAGAAAAGATATATTAGATAGGTAGAAGAGGTTTGGTCATATTATCTTTCTTGTAAATAATCCTTCACATAGGCTGAAATCTTAGCCATTTCTGCTAAATTTGAAACTTTAAATGCCCAATCCTCTATAGTAGGCAAACGATCCGTTTTCCAACATTGAGCTATTAATAACCTCGCAGCAGTTATCAAATTCAGCATCAATTCCATTTCTTTTTTATGCAAATTTTTGAAGTTTTCTTAGATTTCCAAGCTTCCCAGGCTTTCTGATGCAATATGAGCTATATAAAACATCCTATTTAAATTTTTTAATGGCCTTGGGCAGGTTATGTGCATGACATACAGGCTTGATCTAAAGCTGAACATCCAGACAATTCTCTTTGAAGTAATAACGATTTATCATCCCATGAACTCCTAAAGCAAATTCTCACAACCAATAAAATTGTATAGTTGCCTTTTTGATTATCAAACTCACTTGTTTTCTTGCAGTTCAAAAACTTCTTTCACATATTAAAATATCTGTGGTTTTTTCAAGGTTTGGATTGCAGATTTTTTTAAACTTATATTAATATCATTCTGCTGCTCTAAAAACAATTCAAATAGTTTCCTTCCATTTTCAGTTACTCCACAGTTTTATACAGTTCTGCAGACATTAATGTTTCCTTCAACTCTCTTTGGAATGATAGAGAAGAGAATTCTACTGAGAAAAATATTGGTATGGGGAACATCTCCCTGAAGTGCTACAAACTGCTCAATCTACTGATTTGTGTTAACTACACAGTGAGGATTAAATAAATCATATTGCAAATGTTTGAAATATTTACAAGTGGAAAATGTAGTACTCAGTAGAGATCACATCCTTTCTTTTGCTTTATTTATTAATAGTATTTTATCAAATCCTTTTCCTACACATGATGTACCTCATGTAGACAGACAGTGTTTTTCAAAAATGTGGTTTTTATTATTATTTAAAATAGAAAAAATATATTAACATGTTCAAAATAGTAATAGAATCATCCAGAGAAAATATTTAAAAACCTATACAGAGTTGGAGAACAGTAATTTTAAAGACTATTTAATGATGGTATGACCTTGTTGATGTGATTTTACTAGAAGTTGAACTCTGATAAGTGCAGATCCTGTAGAGTTGGCTAAGGCATATTTTTTTGTGATTATTTTGTAAGAATCGAGAGTTTTGGCTCTGAGAAAGTGACTGGGATCTTGCAAGTTGTGGGTGTGTCCACTGAAATTTTAGATCCACGCTGTTATTAGTTGATAAAACTCTCCTAGAATTTTTCCTTGACTGTAGTTTGGTTGCACCTGCCCTTTTGGACACTGGGGTCTTTACCATTCTCAGTAAATCATCATTAGATGCAATTGTGTTGGATAATTTCTAGCACCTGCAAGATGCTTGGGTGAAGCAGATTATCAAAATTCCTTTCAGTCAAGTTTAACACCTGGGCACTATATAGAACATCATTAGTTATGCTTGTTCATAACCTGTGATGGGACCATGATGGAGGTAGTACACGTTCCTCACCCTCTGTGATCTCTTATCAAACTTGAATTCCACCAACATAGTAATTCATGGCAGCTTAAGGATGTCAGTGATGAATATTGGTGTTGCAGTGGTCCTCATGACCTTTTCAGTCAAGTGAAGAATGAGAGAAAGGGACAGAGAAAGAGAGATCTAAGAGACCTATTTTGTGAGGTGCCTCAGAATTCAGTTCTTTCCCACTCCCGATTGACATCCACATAAACCAGTGCATGAGGTCATGTATTGGCACGGGAAAAGATATCATCAGGATGCTGATGATACTCAATTTTATATCTCAACCTTTGACCTCCAAGTGAGGTTGTCAGAGTTGATATTCCCTGGAATCATTTCTTCACAGTTCCTACTCCCATCCTTTCTAACAGAATCTCCCTATTTTTATTGAAGATGCATGCTCCCTGAGTTGTGCACTCATTTGAGTGAATGTATAAATTAAATAAGTAAAATCTGAAATCTGTAACTGAAACATCTCTGTAACACTAT